ACACACAGTGCAAAGACAGCCCTCTGAAGAACTAGAAAGCATACCTCATGACTTACTATATCTGCCAGAACCTTACCCTTGACATTCCCAGCCTCTAGATCTATGAAAAATAAATTATTGTTGCTTATAAGCCAGATACTCTATGGAATTTTATTATAGTACTCCAAGCTGAATAAAATATAATGTTCCCTGTATCTCCTTAAAACTTTCTGTAGCAGTACATCTGTCTTAGCTACTTTTCTTCGTGCTGAGACAAAATATGTGACACCCAAAGTTAAGGGAGTAAAAGTTTATTTAGCTCACAATTTGCAGACGTTTCAGTCCATACTTGGCTGGCTCCGAGGCAGGACGGCACACGGCAGAGGGGCATCACTTCATGGCGGCAGAAGACAGCCAAAGCAACAACAGAGAAAAAAGGGGGAAAAGACTCTTTCTGTCCCTTACATTATATCCAGTCCCCTCAGATTAGGGTGGTGCTGATCCAATCAGTGGACTGATCCAGAAATCACCTACCTTTAATCCCAGCACCCTAGACCCCAGCATTGCACTACAAATCAATCACACACTACAGATTCAGCCATCTCCAAAAAAACCTATGACTGTATGAGGCTTTGGGGGGACATCTTGACACAAACCATAACATCCTACCTAGAAATTCTATCTAAAATTGAAATTATGAGCTCAGAAATGATGTTTTAAGAAACAGTACTTATAGAACATTATAAAACATTCAGAGCAGGAACATTTGCATGTAGCTGCTGTGGTAAAAATAACTCAGGCATTACCCAGGATAATGGTATCTTATCATGACCTCATGTGGTAGTACTAAGTACCTATTATTATAAGACACTCTACAACCCATTACCTGAGCCCTGCAATTCATAAATTGCCTTTACAAAAATCCCCCATTTATAAAGCACCTAAAAAATGTGCCACACATTATTAATACCAAGAATAATGAAACACAGCACCTGCCCTCAAGGTTTCAGTTAATGAGAGGACTATATGACAACGTGTTTAGTGTAATAATCTTAGAAGGTACAACTGTAAACCAGGTGTGGTGTCACATGCCTGTAATTCAGCACTTGGGAGGCTGAAATAAGAGGACTGTGATGAGTTCAAGGCCGGTCTGAACTGCACAGCAAGTTCAAGGCCAACCTGAACTACAGAGGGAGACTTTGTCTCAAAAATCAAAACACAACAAAAAAAATCACAATTGTAAGAGCACACAAGAGAGATACCTAATCCGGTTTACAGTAAGCAAAGACTAAGCAAATGGGGCTGGGAGATACAGCTCAGTGGCACAGCGCCTGCCTGGCAAACATGAGGTCCTAAGTTTGATTCCCAGCACCAAAACAAAGACTGAGTAGAGTATACATAAAACTTAAAATGGAGACATAAGACAAGAAAGAGTACAGTAAGTCAAGAGACTAAGGTGGAGACCAATAAGCACAAGTACGAAGAGAAGAGAATAGCATTGCTTCCTGGATGGGACCAAAAGTAAGTCAGTGCACTGCTAACACATTAATTTAAAGACAAATATGAGACAAAATTGGTGAGACATGTAAGAACCCAAGGCCTAGAAAGATATGTTAGATTTTATCCTATAGTCCAGGGTTTCAAATTATGTCAGGAACAAATTTTTTTTTCAGTAGTAAGTTTCTATAAGACATTGTGGTGATTATGTTACTTGACAACCTAATGGATTTGAGAGCTTCTTAGACAATTAGTAAAGCACACTTCTGGGTGTGCCTGGTGGAATGAAGACATGATCTGTGGCCCTATATATGGTCCCTGACCCCTTCCTCTCCCTCCTGTTCCCTTGTTCTATTTCCTGGCCACCACAAACTAAGCAGTTTTACTCTGCCACACACTTCCACCATGCCCTTTCTAAATTGGAACCAGCCCACCATGAGCTGAAACTTCTAAAACCGTGAACCAAATTAAACCTTGCCTCCTTTAAACTGTAAGTATTGGGTATTTTTTCCCAGTAACAAGAAAGTTGACTAATGTATAAAATTGGTACCAGAGTAGTGAGGTTGTTGCTGGGAGTATACCTGACCATGTGGTTCAGAAACATGTGAAACTGGTTTGCAGGACTTTAGAAGGTTTAGAGATGCAGGATAGATAAGCCCTAGAATGCTAAAAGCAGAGCTTGATGAGTGGTTTTTATCTGTGCTCAAAAGACCAGAAAGCTGCTAGGAATGCAGACAGTACAGTAAAGCTGCTAGGAACCCAGACAGATATGAGCAGAAGATTAGAGGCAAAGATGGGGTTGGGGATTTAGCTCGGTGGCACAGCACCTGCCTGGCAAGTGCAAGGTCAGGAGTTCGATTCCTGATACTGGAACAAAAACAAAACGGAAAAAAAAAAAAAAAAATAGAGGCAAAGACAATGTTAGGAACAAGTGGTAATGACCATAGCAAGAGACAGCGACAGTAAAGGTCATGTTCAGTAGGTATCGCTTTTGAAGGAAGGCTCTAGAGGGAACTGGACTAAAGGTCATTTGTGTTACATTCTCACAGACCATTTGACTATATTTTGCCCACCTTCTAGGACTTTGCAGGAATCTGAGTTTAAGGGTAGTGGTCTAACTGATCTGGTAGAGGAAATTTCAAAGCAGTCCAATGTTCAGGTTGTGGCATGTGTACTACTGGTTCCTTTTACCCAGATGTGTAGTAAGAGTCAAGAACAAAACACAGGGCAGTATTTGAAAATTTTAAACCTTGCCTAAAAAGAACAAGTAAAGTAGGGTCCAAAGGAAGAATGACAGTAGTTGAAGAGACTGGCATCATTAAAAAAGAAGCCAAGTACTTTGTACAGAAACAAGAAGACACCTTCAAGCATCTCCAGAAACCAGCAAGACCTTATCCACTGCAGACTGAAAGGTACAAAGCTATCAACCTTTCATTTGAGAAGAGAGCGGCTGGGCCCCCTGCTTGAGAAGGGTCAGGCAGGGAATTGATTCCCTGGGACCAATTTCACCAGCTCAGCTATACAAGAATTCAGAGACTGCTACAGCCATGTTATAGGGGGATGGGACTATTGCTCCAGCTGGATGTAGACCTTGGCATCATCCACATGATACTGACTTGTCATGCATGCAGAATGTAAGAACTGTGGGGTCAGCAAACCTTCCATCCGGATTTCAAAGAAAGGCCTGGAGGCCAGACAATATATGAGAGAAGAGTGCATGGAACTGTAGGAATGAAATCAAAGATGCAGTGGTGACCCTAGGAAGCTGGAGATGCCAGAAATGTGGAAGATCTTCTGAGGAAAGCTGCAGGCAACAAGTGAAACCAATTGAAAAGAGAGCTTACATAGGCTGCAACAGGCAGAGCCATATGGATAGGGCCACCCAAGGCCTTGAGAACTCGTACCTCACCACTACTGCCCTGGATGTAGGACATGAAGCTACAGGACTCAATGTTTGTTCTACTAGGTTACAGTCTTGCTTTGGTCCAATCTTTTTTATTCTCTCTGTGTTCTTCCCTTTTAGAAAGGGGATGTTTATCTTGTGCTATTCTATTTGGAGATTAAGTAACTAATTTTTTGAAGAGGTTCACAGATAGAAGTTTCCCTTCAATCTCAGAGGAGATTTTGACTTGGACTTTTGAGAATGCTAGAACTGCTGAGACTTTCAGAAAGGGTAACTGTAACACATTAGGTGGAATTATGATTTCATGTATTTGAGGATTATGGTTCAAGGAGATATCTTTGGGTGTCAAGTTGACAATGAGCAGAATGTGACAAGTTAAGCTTGATTGTGTCAGCTTCATTGGCTTGGAAGCCACCCAAGGAATTAATAAAACACTTCGGGTGTGTCCGGGTAGATCATAGAAGCATGACCTGGGTGCTATATCTAGTCCCTGGCCCTTTTCTCCTAGTACTATTACCAAGCTTTGCTTCCCAGCCACCCTTCTGCAATGGTGTTCCTGCCTTGGAGACAGATGACCATGGACCAAGTCCTCTGAAACTCTAAGTCAAATAAAACTCTACTCCAAGCAGAGATGTCAGGTATTTTGTTCATTAACAAGAAACTTGAATAATACAGGCATCAAAAAGGAAATTCCAAAAAATAGTGCTGAAGGAATGAGGAATATCCTGTCACCTACCTGAGATATGGCAAATACAGTAAAAATCACAACTGTGGTAATCCTTGCAAGGAAGCAATAAAGTAAGATCTGCCTTCTTGATATATCATTCTGATAAATGTTCAGAGAATAGATAAGAGCAAGACAAGATTGGAGACAAAGACAAATGTTTGGAACAAGTGATAACAGCCATAGCAAAAGATGGTGAGGTCTTCAACCAGTGCCATGTTGTAAGGATAGAAGAAAGGGAATAACCCTGAGGACCAGCAGGAGGCCTGGATGATGCACATCTGGCAGCTAGCCAAGCCCACCTAGCAGTATTATTTGATCCCAATTGGCAAGTTTCTAATAGATAAACTTATTAACCAATTTCCAGGAGGAAAGATCTATCTCCTAAATGACTGTGTAGCAGTTTACTGAATATTTCTAGTCAACTTTCTAAACATTAACTAATGTTTATCTACTTCAATAATAACTTTTCTTGCATTCCATATTTCAACAGCCAATAAAACTTGCAGATTTTTTTTACTCTCAAAAGAGAATAGAAAACATAAAACAGGCTCTAAGACATTTCTTTAGAAGAAAATATAGTCATAGCAGCTGGAAGGATGGAAAGAAAAAGGAAGGAAGGAGAAAGGGAGGGGAGGGAGGGAAGGGGGAAGGAGAAGGAAGGAGGGAGGGAGGGGGACAGAGAGAGAGAGGAGGTGAGAGAGAGAGAGAGAAAGAGAGAAAGAGAAAGAAAAAAAGAAAGAAAAAGAAAGAAAAGAAAAGAAAAGAAAAGAAAGAAAGAAAGAAAGAAAGAAAGAAAGAAAGAAGGAAAGAAAGAAAAAAAAAAAAAAAGACAGCCAGAGAAACAGCCAAGCTCTAAAATTAACACGTGCCATTCTGTCATTTATTTTACTTTACCTTTCAGGGCACTGCTGGAAAAAAGCTGTCAGCTGCTGCAAAAGTACTGGCCAGCAATCAGGCCTATGTTCAAGCACAGTGATCAAAGGCTGAGGATGATTTCTGCAAAACATAGAAAGTCACATTGGAAGCTGTCATTTCGGGACTTACATTCTCAATATCCAAATATAGCAGGAAAAAAAAAAGCCAACACAATCGAGAGAGACTCTTTCCAGGATTCATAACTGTCATAAAACTATCACTTTCTGCATTAGTTGCAGGGTTGGTTCATTAGAAATGACTTTCTATTCTCCTTTTATCTGTGTGGGGTTTGTTTGTTTGCTTTTGCAAAAAATAAAATGAACCTGGCATCTCAAGAGATCCAAACTGGAAAACAGGTTCCGCAATTTAATACAGTAGCTCTATCTTTGGCCAAGGTCCTCAAATTCAGTAGCTCTCTCAAATCCACCCCTTGATTCCTTCCTTCCTCAGAGGTCAAAGGCCAACCTAGCCTTCTGCCACAGTTCTCTAAGCCTAGAATCTTCCATTTCCTCTAACATTATTACCACGTGTAGGTCCTATCTCTCCTGTTTCCACTTAAGCCTCCTCCTTCTCAGTGCATGGTCCTGTGTTACTGCAGCATATTTAAGGTGAGGAAAAAAGAAAATATTCTATTAAAACAACAAACCACCCATACTGAAAATGTCTGCAATTGCTTCTGAATGGGGATAAATGTATGTCCACTGAGATGCACATATTAAACATAAGATCTGAAATCTGGAGGACTCAAAGAACAAAGCTAAACCAAGTAAGAGAAAAACCCACCAGTACAATCATTTCAAACAGCTCAAAGGCCTAACAGCAATTGTAAATTTATCAACTTTTCAAACTATGAATTACAGTAACATAAAGGTTTCATTTATTATTGATATAGTTTTTCTTTCTAAGGAAGTTTTAAAATAAAATTTGAAATGCTCATTTTAAAAAATTCAAATACACAAATAATATGTTTAACACAAAAAGACCTAAATGCATAATATTTTCTTTAACCCTGATTTTTTTTGTTTGGTTGGTTGGTTGTTTCTAAGACAGGGTCTCGCTATATAGTTCAGGCTGGCCTCAAACTCACAGCAATCCTGCTATCTCAGCCTCCTGAGTGCTGGGATTACAGGCGTGGGCCATCTGCCTGGTTGTAACCTTAACTTTTAAGCCAGAATATATATCCAGCAAAATTTATTTTTTTAAATCAGACTATCAGCTACATGTAAATGCTGTTTTACTTTTCATGGATTTACTTTTTTGCAATGCTAAGGACTGAACCTAGGGCTGTACACAAGCATGGTAAACACTCTACTACTAAGCTACCTCCCCAACCCTCAAATGATTTTTAGGACTGCCTTCTTGATAATTCTCAAAACATGATGACTTTACCAGCAACATCAGCATCACCTAGGAATTCTCACAGTGCAGCCCAAACCTCATAAATAGTCCTCCAGGAAAGTCTGATATATGACTGTAACACAGTGGTTCTCAACCTTGGTTGCAGGCTAGATTATCTGGGGAACTCTTAATACCAACACCCAGTCCCAGACATCTTGCCATTGCTAGGAATGGAACTGATACATTAACAATATTTTAAAACTCTACAGGTAATTCTCATGTGTTGCTGACGTTGAGAATTTCTACAAGAAAAACAATGAAAAGGGATGTCAATGGTAGGATCTCTCTCTCTCTGTCTCTCTCTCCAGAAAAGTACAGCATATCTAAAACACTGAAGCATTCATGTTAAACACCTCCCTGGCACTACTACTCAATGTCTACATAGTATTTTTGTATTTACTTTTGCTAACATTTACTTTTTCATTGCAGTAAGTATATAACAAAATTTAACTTTTAACTATTCTTATTTTAAAAAGAAAAAACTAAAAAAAACCAACAATGAAGACAAAAATAAAACAACACAAAAAATGATACATGACCTCAAAACAAAATGATGGGAATTAACAATGGTTGCTACATGCACAGTATAACACCATCCCTTTACTTCCTCTTCAGCTCACCTACTCTACCAGGCTTCACATGCCAGCAGCCTCCCACATGTTAAAGTGCAGGCTATTTCTGATTGACAGGTTACAGGCATAGCCAAGGGATGACTCTAAGCAATATTTTATTCCCAAACACAAAAGTCGTATCAAAAAAGTAGTTCCAAATACTACAACCTTGGGTGTTAAGTCCATCTAGAATCTGCTTCCACTCTAGTTGCCACATATATATAAAATAAACCCTAAAAGCCACCAAGGTTCATCACATCAGACGAACTTCTTAGGCTGAAAGTTCAATAGGTCATGTTCAGTGAAAACCTCCAACGGAAAAGGAAAGCCTGGCAATTATAATTAGTGTTGCTACAGTTTCTTCTTCTGACAAGGGCTGTATTAATGTAAGGAACATCAAATAGGACCATTCATTTATCTCCAGCTAATGATTTCTTCAGGTATTCAAGAAGAAAACCGAAGTTAGCGCAAGTTTCTGCGTGAACATAAAGCACTGAAGTGCTTTTCAATATTCTCTCCTTTCTCCTCTTGCTACAACTTACAAAAAAAAAAAGGCTACCAAGGGTCTCAAAACATGAAGTTTTTTCCCAATTAAATCAAGTCAACATAAATATGAAATTATAATTTTTCAAAAAAAGTAGAAATGATACACATGCGGTAAGAAAATGTTATGACGTGACTTCTCTTCTACTCACACTGAGACTCACTCTAGACTTGCTGTGTGAAGCTCAAGTCCTGTTTTGCTAGCTACTGAATTGAGATGATTCTACTTCATATCCTAAATTCTAAACATGAGATTAAGTAGACTGCAGTACAAGAAAGATTATCCAGATTAATTACTGGTTTAGGCCTCTGGATAATTACCTTGTCTAGATAACTGATTATATCCAATCTAAGTGGCAATATTGTAGAAAATGATAAACAACACTGATTCCAAGAAGCTGAAAATCTTGAAGGTGAAGAAAAATTCATAATGAAAACATTGACTCTTCTTGTTGACTAGCACTTGGTTACTAATGTTATACTATTTCAACTAAACACAGCTAACTAAAAGCAATTGTAATTGGCAATTTTTTCTTTTAATACTTTAAGCATAATGAAGCATGGAGCTAAACTCTCCCTTGTGAATCATCAAATTGGTATATGATCACACACAGGCAATAGCTGCTAACGCCTTATGTTAAGAAGCAGAATGAACACACTTTTTAATTCAATACACTGAACTACTACCACAGATGAGAGTTTCTCAGTCATATCCCTATTGACATTTAGGCTAAATAACTCTTTATTGTATGGGTTGTCCTATGTACCATAGGGTGTTTACCAGCATCCCTGGTCTCTTCCCACTAGTAAGAGTCCTCTTAGTTATGTCGAACAAGAAATGTCTTCAGATATTATCAGATGTCTCCTGTGGCACAAAAGTGACGCTAGTTCCGAACAGCTAGCTATATAAATGACCAGTACTACAGGAGGCACAAAACTGAATAAAGCTTGGTACCAATCTCAGGGTATTGTAAAAAGATTATGATTCTAATTTCATCCCACCTCACACTGGCAATCAGTCAATCAAGTTGTTCAGCTGCTTCTGTAAATATGGTTAACAAAAACTAACATTAGATGCATATGAGTAACAAGACAGTAGAAACTAAAATGCTTAAAATAGAAACAAATGTAAAATTATTCCTGTACAAAATAAAAAATCTTCTAAAACAAATGGTACTAAATCATACAAATACTAATTTGAGTATAAGAGAAAATGGAATTATTTTCCTATTTAAAATATTATAATTAGAGCATTTCAAAGTGCCATAAGGCTAAGTATAGTTCACTGTTGATGTATTCAAGGACTGATTATTAAATTTATGGATTATTCAAGATTTTTCTTTTCTCCACTTACTGCTTGTTAGCCCTTCTACTTCTTTTCAAATACATCCAACAGAAAAAGGTCATAGTAAATGGAAGGATATACAATTTAAAGAAGTCAAGTTAACAGGATTATATTGGAAGTGTTATTAATCAAGAATAAAACAAAGGGGGAAAAAAGAAATAACATGGTACTTAAAAAAAAAAATGTGCAGCCGGGGATATAGCTCAGCAGCACAAGCACCTGCCTGGCAAGTCCTGAGTTCAATTCCCAGTACCAAAAAAAAAAAAAAAAAATGTGTACTGGTACACACATGTAATTCCAGCACTCTGGGAGGCTGAAACTGGAAAAGTAAAAGTGTGGCCCTTGCTCAAGCAACTTAGTGAGACCCTGTCTTAAAAACATAAAAAATACAAAGGGGTGGAGAAGTAGCACAGGGCAAAGATCCTAGGTTTAATGCCCTGTTGCAAAAAGAAAGAAAAGAAGCCTACACCAAAGCAAAACCTGGTTCATGCCTCAATATTCCCTTATCTTCAAACCTGCTATGCAAGTTATGGGGAGTCAGTTGATCAACATCCTTTACTAAGCTGGGCATGGTTGAACAAGCCTGTAATCCCAGCACCTGGGAAGCTGAGGCAGGAGGATGGCAACGAGTTCAAGGCCAGCCTGGGCTACATAGTGAGTTCAAGGCCAGCCTGCACTATAAAGCGAGACCTTGTCTCAAAAGAAAAAAAAAAAAAATTATTAAAATGACCATACCATCAACCTGATCACTTGTAAAAACTAACAGTGGCAGCCATCAAGCTATATAAGTTTTGGAAAAAAAAAAAATAGGTGGTATACCATAATTACTTTTATATAAGCAATGGCTACATATCATCATTAGAATCACTATTATGTGGCCAAGTCCTTATCCCAGATAAAGCTAAAAGTGAAGAGGTAGCATAAACTAGTTGGATTTAGAACACAGAATTAAGCAACAAGAATACCAAATTTACAGTCTGGTTCTGCAACAAACCAAGGGATCCCAAGCAAGAGAATTAACCTCTCTTGGTCAGTTTCTTTCACCTGTAAAGTGAGACTAAGTGTCTATCAGAGCTGCAGTTACATCACCCATCCACCTACAAAGGCCCTAAAGGTAGAAAGCTCAAAACTGAAGGTGAAACCAAACTCTATAAAGGCAGAAAGCTACTACTACTAATTCTACA